GGGGCATGATCATGTTTTCACATGCTCGCTCGGGGAATGCCGGCTATCGTTGCATCATGTAGCGGGGGGGCATGGTCAGTGAAGGTTTTTCCGGTCGGCTAAAAAAAGGCTTGGTTCTTGCTCTTTTCCGTTTGTTTTTTCGGCGTTTGCAAAGCAAAAAGCCATTAAAAATAGTTCATATATCTTTTGTAGCCGGAAAATTGTGGGTGGCATGAATTTTGTTTTTCACATGTGGTTTTTGAAGTGTGGGCTTTCGGAGAACCACTGCTTTTGCCGTTTTGCCTATTGCTTTTTCGTTGCCCCAAATGTTTGTTAGTGTGTTTTGCATATCATTATGATCTAAGAATGATGTTTGGTTACGGGCTGTGACGAGGAATTGGCTTGGTGTTTGAATTTGGGGCCTGTTTGGTGAGTGTGACTCTACAGCAAAATCATATCTACTGCTGTAACTTGGGTTTATGTTTTTTAAGCATATATAGGGGGGGTATGGTCCCTGAAGGATTTTTCGGTCGGTTTTAAAAGGCCTGGTTTTTGCCCTTGCTAGGCCCTACGTTAGCTCACACCCTCCCTTGGCGCCTCGTTCGGCTAGTGTCCCACCCACTAGCAACAAGAACGGACGGCAGAGCTAATGCAGTTCGAGTTGGCGGTGGGAATCAGTGTTGGGCATGGGTTTGTTGGCCCCCGAAATGCTGGTTGTTGGGATGCCGGCATTTCAAGCGAGGATGATTGGGATGTCCTTGTGGGGCTGACACTCCGAGGTCGGTTTTTGGTGTGCCGGTGTTAGGTGTGTCGGCCCTGCTCTAGCTCCTTCCTTTCCGGCGTTTGGTTCTTCCATTACACCCACCCAGGTGGACGGACCAGGCGTCGGGGGCTAGTGCAGTTGCTTTTATGGTGGCTCTAAGTGGGTGGGACGGTTGGCTGCGGTTTTGTTGGCCTTAGAAATGCCGGTTGTTGGGATGCCGGCATTTCGAACGGGGATGGTTGGCTATTTCGTCCTCGCTGAGTCGACTCTCGGAAGGTTGGATTTCGGTTAGCCAAATTTCTTTAATTTGGCTCGGTGTGCCGATGTTAGGTGTGTCGGCCCTGCTCTAGCTCCTTCCCTTCTGGCATTTGGTTCTTCCATTACACCCACCCAGGTGGATGGACCAGGCGTCGGGGGCTGGTGCAGTCGGTTTTATGGTGGCTCTAAGTGGGTGGGACGGTTGGCAGCGATTTTGTTGGCCTTCGAAATGCCGGTTGTTGGGATGCCGGCATTTCGAACGGGGATGGTTGGCTATTTCGTCCTCGCTGAGTCGACTCTCGGAAGGTTGGATTTCGGTTAGCCAAATTTCTTTAATTTGGCTCGGTGTGCCGATGTTAGGTGTGTCGGCCCTGCTCTAGCTCCTTCCCTTCTGGCGTTTGGTTCTTCCATTACACCCACCCAGGTTGATGGACCAGGCGTCGGGGGCTAGTGCAGTTGGTTTTATGGTGGCTCTAAGTGGGTGGGACGGTTGGCTAGGGTTTTGTTGGCTTTGAAATGCCGGTTGTATGGATGCCGGCATTTCGAACGGGGATGGTTGGCTATTCCGTCCTTGCTGAGTCGACTCTCGGAAGGTTGGATTTCGGTTAGCCAAATTTCTCTAATTTGGCTTTGCCGATGTTAGGTGTGTCGGCCCTGCACTAGCTCCTTCTCTTCCGGCGTTTGGTTCTTCCGTTCCACCCACCCAGGTGGATGGACCAAGCGTCGGGGGCTAATGCAGTCGGTTTAATGGTGGCTATAAGTGGGTGCGATGGTTGGCTACGGTTTTTGGTGGCGTTTGAAATGCCGGTTGTTTGGATGCCTGCATTTCGAACGGGGATGGTTGGCCAGTTCGTCCTCGCCGAGTCGACTCACGGACGGTTGGATTTCGGTTAGCCAAATTTTGTTAATTTGGCTCGGTGTGCCGATGTTAGGTGTGTTGGCCCTGCTTTAGTTCCTTCCCATTCGGCGTTTGGTTCTTCCATTGCACCCACCCAGGTGGAAGGACAAGGCGTCGGGGGCTAATGCAGTCGGTTTTAGGTTGGCTCTAAGTGGGTGGGACGGTTGGCTACGGTTTTCTTCGGTGTTGCATGGCACTCATCGACGCGACTGTCATGGGCACCAGGCATTCGCTGGTGGGCTGACTGCTGAGTTAAAAACTTGGCCTTTGGTCTGTTGGTGGGTTGTGCGGTGTGTATGAAGTTTGCGATGCGTAATTGTGTGTGAGATGTATTTGGTTTTCATGGTCAGGTTTGATCCTTGCTGTAGCAGCGAAAACTTGCCGTGAAAGCCTTTTCAATTTGGTGGGTTCCGCCTTTGTCTGCAATGGTTTCCTTTGTTCTGTACCCTTTCGGTGGCATCCTTACGTTCCAACTGCTGAGTTCTGTCGTGTGCCTGCTCGTGTGGGAA